TAATTATCGTTGAAGACTTGAAGACTTCAATTCACCAACTTCACAATTTTGCACAAATTGTAACAATTAAGTAAGCAATTATAGAAGAATATTAGAGAGAGATTGAGAGCGATTGATGATTTTGTGAGAAAAATGAAAGAATGAGAGGGTATTTATAGTTGAAAATAGGAAAAAAGTATAATTATAAAAAGTTTGGGGTTAAAACAAAATTTGGGGGGTTAAATGGCTATTTTGCAAATAGCCAACGGCTATTTTGGCAGACCAAACGACTAGTTTTTAAATGGTCAAACGGTCAATCTTTTTAAAAAAATTATCCGTTGGGCCCGTTTAGGACCGCTTGAACCGGCCCACTTCTGAGCCGGTCCCGGTCCTAAACGGTCTCGCGGGCCTCCCCTATGAGACCGGCCCACCATCCCACGGTCCCGGTCCTATCCGGTTAGGACCGTTTAGGCCCACCGCTCATGTGGGCTTGCTGTCCTAGGCCGGTTCCGGTCCTAACCGGCCCACATACCACCCCTATTTGGAGGTATAGGGAGTTATATCTAAGGATTACTCTGTTTTCTTGAAGCCATCAAAGGGAGTGTAAGTGGACTAATTAAATGGCACTTGCTGAAACTCAAAGTTTGAAAAGATAAGTGTTTATTTGTACAATTTCACTGTTAAAGTTGTAGTCTATGTGATTCATTATGGTAAAGATTTGTGTATAATTTTATGTTAACATAATTGTCGATATTACTGATTAGAAGCCGATCTTATAGTCATTTGATTAAAACTTTATTTTGTTTGATTGTTGGTTGTGTGCCATGAGACTGGTTTGCAAAGCTAGCCCAGTGGCTATTCTTTTGTAAATCAGGAGTGAAGGAAAAGGAAGCATATGGTCCAGAAAAGGCTGTTTTCGTGAAGACATGATGCTATAGAATGACTTAAGATTTTTTTTTTCTTTTCCTTTACTCAGTAATTGTATAATTCGTGCCAGATTTTCGCTGCAATGTAATTTGTTAACTCTTATTTCACGTATTCCCTGAAAATTGGCAAATTCATCTAGTTCTCATTTACTTAGGTTCATTGTTAATATTTAAACAAGATTAGGTTGCAGGATGTTGAACCCAATGTTTTGAGCTATGATGGTTGACTATTATGTTCATTTCCATTTCTTATGATAGTAATAGCTTAATCAATCTGCTTCTTTTACAGTTATTCTCAAACATAGAGAATGAATAATATTCGAATATCATACTTTACTTTAGGCGCCATTAATAAATGATCGTGATTATAGGTACGGTTCCCGTGGCATAGTCACGATACGTAAATCTCAATTCGAGTGTGCATTTCACGTGATTCGACCATAACTTTAAATATTAAAAAAAAAAACATGTTGCAAATCGCGGGAGCGTTTCACGTGGCGCGATTCGCAATATGTACAAAAACAACAAGTGTGTGACATCGCAACTTGTTCAAATGAATTTCATAAATATTAAAAGCGGTTAAAAGGTTAAAAATGCACAATAGGTTTAAACATCTAATAAAATCATATAATTAGGCCAATTATTAATAGTTGAGCGACTGTGCAAAACCACGGAATCCGGGAATGTCTAACACCTTCTCTCGGGTTAACAGATTCCTTACCCGGTCTTTTCGTTTTGCAGACTTTAAAACAGAGTCAAATTTCCTCGGTTTGGGATTTAAAATAAACCGGTGACTTGGGACCCCATAAATTATCCTAATTGGCGAAAACTCCTATTTCTTCGGAAAAAGGAGGTGTGACAAAGATCTCTAATTAAGAGTTGAAAGATTCCAACTGCCCTCGACATACCGCTCGATCTCAGAGGTTGTTTTATGATATAATCTGCAAGTTCAGTTGAACTCAGCAGCTTTAATACAGACCTTATATATGTGTCATGTAATATACTAATATTGGTAGTAGTATTGCATTTCTCAGCAAATTTCTCAGTGTACACTTGAGAGTACTCTCTGTTTGGCAGATTTTCTTACTCATTCTAAAGCTACCATGCTGCTACGCTGAGCTTGCATTGACATGACTTGCAAACAACTCTGAATGATGCAGTTTAGGCAAGTCTTTAAACTATCTCAATATAGAAAATGCTAAGTAGCATAACTAACGTTACCATGATGCTACGCTGTACCTGCACTGACATGACTTGCAAATAACTCAGACACTATAAGCCCTCTAGCTACAGCGCTAACAAGTCAGAAAATGGATGCACAAAGGCACAATGGCTTTCGTGCGCAATTGACTACACCCTCGCTTCCTACTTTCAGGGCGGAGCTTGATAGATAGTGACGTGGTCGGAGAACGTCAAATAAAACTTATGGTAAGCAATTATCAAACTAGCCAACAATTTCATTTAGAGTGTTCAAACTTGAAATACGTAAAAATAAAATTCCGATAAAGGATGTTCAATATATGTTATATACCATTAAAATCTAATATTCCACCTATATATTCAGTGTAAGTTTTCGACGAAAGGTGGTCAGTTGACCGCCCTTAGGGCTATGTACCTTCGCCCCTGCAAGACAGAGAGGAAAAAATGGCAGAAACAATTTTCTTTTGGATCTAGAGAATCAATCTAGATAAACCAAGGAAGATATACTTAATGCTTTCACAAAAATATTAAACAGCTAAAAAGCTTGAAACTAAAGAGACGACTTTTTTGACAAGAACTCATTAGGTTTCAGTAATTAATATTTCTTCATTTTATCTTGAAATGAATCACAAAAATTCCTACCCAAAATAAATATAAAAACGGCAAGCGATAAAGAGCAAATGACACAGATAAATATAGCTAGGCTTGCAGAAGGTAGCACAACGTACAAGCCAGTCATAAACGCTATCATCATTGTTAGCATGGCAACCAAGGCAAGGACGCCAGCAACTACATAACGATTCAACCTTTTGTTCTCTTCCTCGTAAGTTGCAAGGTAATGCAGAAAAACAGCAGCTGTCGAAGATATCATGGAAATGGTATCTGTTACTGCGAATGCTTTGAACGCTGTTTTCTTGGATATGATTGCCATGCCTTTATTTGGATCATCAACACCATCGTAACCACCAGGAATTGTGAAGCCAGCCGCGAAAGAAACGGTTAATATAAGTGTAACAACTATCAAATGTGTGTTTGCTCTTTCTTTCCATACTTCCATGCGTCCTTTGAACCACTTCTCATCTAATTCTTCCTGAAAATAGAGTTAAAAATCTCTAATTACTTTTATGAGTTATAAGTGTATATCTCAATTGTGGTTTTAAAAAAAAAGAATTACTCCCTCCGTTTCAATTTAAATGAGGTAGTTTGATTTGTCACGAGGTTTAAGAAGAAAAAAAGACTTTTAAAACTTGTGGTGTTAAAAATTTTGTGGCACCAAGACATTTGTGTGGTTATAAAAACTTTTCATTATGGGTAAAATGAGTAAAATAAAAAGTTTAAAGTTGAATTATTTCCAAATTTAGAAATGTGTCATTTATTTTAGAATAAACTAAAAATGGGAAGTATCTCTCCTGTTTGAAACGGAAGAAGTATGCAATTTTTGTGTTGTAAAACTAACTCATAAGTGTTTTTAATAGGAAAAGACTAAAAAGAAAATAGCATCGGATAAACAAATATTTACCAATCTGATATCGTTGCGATCTAATTTTTCCCAGCAAAGGTGAGACTGAAACGACATGCTTTTCCCTGTAACCTTGTAGGGCACGTTCCCATCAGCGTCTCTTTGCTCAAAGATGTTATTGTGCCAGAGTTGTTCTTGGAATAATCTTATCATTTTCCTATGCTTCTTCGCGTATGCAATGTGAAGAACATTTTGGCCTTGGCTAGTGTCTGCGTCCAAGGAATCTCGACACTGCTCTATAGTTTTTTCCACTACCTGTATTTTATTATTGATGGCAGCTAATTGCAGAGGTGTTTTATTTTCTTCTTTAATAGTTCCATAAGCCATATGTTTATTCGCCATTAATAATGTCCTCACTGGTAGTTTAAACCCTAAGTAAGCCGCGAAATGGAGAGGATTCCACCCAAACTCATCTACTTGCTTTGTCAGACTTAGTTCCTTTCTTAGCTAGCGTTTGGGCATAAATTTTCAAATTTATTCTGAAAAATTTGATTTGGTTGAAGTTTAGTTTGAAGATGAAAATGTGTTTGGACATATGTTTTGGGTGAAGTTTGATTTTGAAAAACATGAAACATACTTATACCCACAAGTTCTAAAAACTATCACAAATACCTAACAGTACCATTATCAATAACATTCATTATATTATCGCAAACCATAATCCTAAACATAAATAAATTTAATACAAAATTATTATTTTTATAATGAACTACATGATACACTATTAGATGACTGAGAAGACGAAGCAACATCGTTACAAAATAATAAATGGTGGGCTCTTTTATAAAATACAAAAGTTTGGAGAAATTTTTAAAAAATATAATAGTGATATTTTGGCCCAAAACCAGCTATTGAGCTGGTTTTGGGATTTGGCATTTGGCATTTGGGGCTTGTGATTTGGCCAAAATGTAGGCAAAATCTATGGCCAAACATGTATTTGTCAAATAAAACCCAAGTTTATTTTGACAAAATCTATGGCCAAACGGTCCTTAGTATCATTTCCATGCGTTCTACCCAAAAACAATATCCTACTTAGTAAGGAAAGTATATATATTTCAATTCTCAAGAAAAATGTCATCCCTCCTCTTCGCCAAGGCTAACAACAATTTATGAATTCCATACAAATAAGGATCACATAAATTATAAACTCCTTGTTGGAAAACTTGTATTGATCTTCCAATATCCACTATGATGACATCCAGAGTTTGCTTTTAAGTGGAAAGTGGGGGGGAGGAATCCATAAGGGGATCTAGTGTTCGAACTGGGGTAGATCTGACAACCCTAGAACGTGAAGTTTAGACATAGACATGGTAGTCAAACAACAAATTATACAAAGAAACATAAAAATTACTAAGTTTGGTGGGAGAAAGATGGAACTTAATAAATTCCGGCCTCCACGACGGCTCTGTGCTTGTGTTTTCCTCTCAAAAGCATCCTCTCCAAGTATGTTCTCCCCCGATATGTTCTCTTCCGGTCTTTCTTTCCTCTATGGCATTTTTAGGTCTATTTATATGTGTGAAAAAAGACCTAAACATGTAGGACAAGTCCTAGTCAAACCCGGAAGCGAATTAAGTCTTCATAACTCGGATTGGACCTGGACCCAGGCCTAGCGTCGCCAGCCTAACGCCAGCTTCAGCCTGGCTTTAGCCTTGCAAAGCCAGCCTAAAGCCAGCTTCAAGCCTGGCGTCGCCAGGTTCTCTCATTCACTGCTCCTGCGCACGCTTTCGACTTGTATGTCTCCTTTTTCTTCTACTTTCATCTCCAATTCACCTACACATAAAATAGACTCAATTAAGCACAAATATAGTATAGTATAGCATTAAAGCCCAAAAATATAAGGTAAGTAATGCACTAAAAATATGTAATTATAACCAAACATCACATATCTATGTCAGAACCCTGTTTTCCATAGTCGAATGAAGCACATTGCAATTGATTTCCATTTTGTTCGCGATCAAGTCCAGCAGAAGCAACTTCAAGTTGTACATGTTCACTCAGCTGACCAACTTGCAGGCAGCCTCACTAAAGCTCTTACAAAGGCTCCTTTTCAACGACATCTTAACAAGCTAGGAGTCGTTGACACCACTCCTAACTTGAGGGAGCGTAATAACAGAATATCTGAAAACAAGAGATACACCAAATAATATTAGTGATATATATCCTTATCTATGTGTTCTTATCTGTATTTTGAATGAATAGGAAGTTGTTTCTATCCCATTCATTTGTAGGACTCTTGCTACTGTTGTAATCTATATAAATAGAGACATTGTCATCAATAAAATAACATACAATTGCTTCATCTTTAGTGTAAAGGTAACAGCTTTCATTGTTTATTTTCATTTCCATTGGAAAATAGCATGGCCATATATTCAGGTGTTTTTTATTGTTATAGTGTTACCTGGTATAAGTCAATATTAACTTGTATCAGTTAGGTGACCTTATGGTTCTTGGTGTTTGATTCCATCCTATTGTCCATCTTTTTTGGTATGTTAGGGGTTGTCTGATAACCTCATTTAACACTTTACACTGAACGTGTTAAGTAATTTGACATCAGAAGGTGTCTGATTAAAGAAAAAAGAAAATGGAGTAATATATTATGTTGTATTTATAAGTACTTCATTTGTTTAAGTGAAAAATGTCGATCTGTTACAATTCTTTTAAGTAAAGCAATCACAAGATTGAAGCAACAATGGTATTCTCTTTTATTTTTTTTTATTTACTATATCCTTTTTGTTTTTTATTTTTTTTTTATAAATCCCTAAAAGATTCTGAGTATTGTTATACTCGAAGAGCCAAAGCTCTAATACCAACTGATAGCATAGGTGAAAACATATGCAATATCTAATATAAATTCTAGGGCTTGCAATTGAAACTAATTGACAAATAATTAAGAATAATGCAAATTAAGGCAAATAAAGATATTTGTTGAATGAAACTAACATGATAATCGTCATCGAGACCGTAAGCCATTCAACCCCACAATCCCATTATAAAAACGAAGAATGTTGGAATTAGAATAGTAAACTAATCAATTTTATTAAAATAAGAAGAAATATTAATAAGAAATTAAATTACCTTGGGAAAATCAAGAATTCAATAATTAAAGTGTTTTTCTTTTCTTAATAATGTCAAAATAATCATCAAAAGTTTTGAAAAATGAGTCTAAGAGTTATATTTATACTAGGGCTAAAATCGAAAAGAAGACCATGAAATAAAACTTCTAGATTGACGTTGAGCTACTGTGCGAGCCTACGCGGTGAGCGTGACATATCAGAAGAGCTTGCTCGCATCGCGCACATGGAAATTAGATATAAGTGCTCCAAGCAGGAGGTTGAAAGAGCAGTAGTTGCCTGCGAGGGTGATCTTGAAAAGGCTGAAGAGACTTTGAGATCACAAAAGCAGGAGCCCGCCTCTGTTCCGTCCAAGCCAGAAGAAACTGGCGATCCTCCTACTGTGGGTAATGGCAAGCTACCAATTGCCACCGGCCAGATTCTAACAAGAGTACCTGTAAAACCTTCATTATCTAGTACAATACCAGCAAAGAGAGATGAGAAAGACTTCAATTATACTAAAGTTGCTGCCGCAGCAGGGCCTCCTTTGGATCGTGGGAGCAAAAACATACCATTGCTGAAAAGGGTTCCGCCAAAATTGGACTGGGCCAAGTCACCACAAGTGTCAGTACCTGTTGATAAAAGGTGTCCAAATGGAGGATCAAATCCCTCTGTTTCCTATTCTTTGGCATCTTCTTTGCAGGCATCACCTCCAACCCCAAGACAGAAGCTCGTTATGTGGCTGTTGGAAATGAATTGAAGAATCTACAGATAGGAACTGTGAGAGAGAACCAGTTATAGTCATGCAATGACCCCAGTCTGTCAATGCCAGGCACACTCCCACCTCAAATCTAAGCTCATCTCCTCCAGGAACAGCAGTGTCGTGGTATCCTAGTAATATTGCTGAAACAATGACATCCAATGGTATGATTCCACATATTCCGTGCACAAGAAGCCTGAGCATGAATGGTGTCAGCACTAACCAATTGTACAACCAACTTCATTATCAACAGCACCCGCATCCAGAACAATTTGTTTCCAGCAATGGCACACTCGAATCACCAGGATCTAGCCGGGGAAATAGTTTGTGGAGTAACACAGGTGCATATATCCCAGACACAAACAATTGCTGCAGCTTCCTCACTTGGACTCTTGTCCGGGTTGGGCACCAAATGGTACTTCTGGGCCATCGTCTTCTGTTGACTGGAACAGCGGCGGTGGCTCAATGCTGCAGCAGCTAGATTACGCCAACACAGACTGGAGTTTAGATCGCGGCTCATTGCCGTCGAGAACAGGTGGTATGTGGCCAACAATGAACTCTTTTACGCAAAACGATGCTCGTAAATATGATTCCTTTACCCCTGGACTCGCGGTAAAGTAGACCATAAGACCTGATCTGAGCAATGGGATTGGCATACCGATTCCCCGGTTGCACGATGGAGCAAGTACAGCAGAAACGAAGGCTGATGGTTTTTTGAAGGGCCATAAAAGTACTCCTGGTAGGGGAAGCGAAGACAAAAAAAATGTTTAGTTTTGCATTACAAGGACAAGGTGAAAAGTAAGAGGACCGTACTCCCTTAGAGCAAGTGTTCATGTCTCTTCCGCTCAAAGAACCGTGTAGAAATATATATATATATATAACGACTTTTTAAAGGGCGTTATACCTTAATGACCGTTTGCCCAGTTAAGTATAACGCCTTTTTAAAAGGCACTATAGTTGAAGTTGAAAAGACGGGAAGGTATAGCGCCTTTTATTAAGACGCTATAGTATAACGTCTTAATAAAATGCGCTATACCTACATAAAAAACCGTCCCCTTCCCTTCCCCACCAAATCAGAAACTCCCCCCCNTGTATAGAAAATGCATATTAGTTGTTTTTAGTGTGCTCTATGTTATTTTGTGATTGTTTTGCAATTTAACTAATTTGTTATTTTTTATCCGGATTATAGTATTATTGTGCTAATAAAATTAGTAAATTAGAGAAATTATCATTAGTTGTTAAAACAAATATTAATTAGTTACTTTTTACTGTGGTATATGTATTTTTGTGATTATTTTTTGATTAAATTAATTTGTTGTTGTTATCTGCTTTAAATTATTTAATTTCTAAAAGACTAGTTTCCTGTAGTAGTATCTTGTGGCCTAATGTAGTGCTCGTATTTGTAATGTAGTGCCTTTTAGTTTAGTTAAATTTAGTATCTTTTAGCGTAGTATCCTTGTAGTTATTGAAATTAATCATTTAAGTATCTCTTAAACCCAAAAATACGTCAAAAAAGCTGATAGTTCAAACAC